GGGGGGAAGAAAAAGCAGCTGTTCCCCCTAATTTGTTCCGGCACAGTATGAGCATGACATTGATAAATCAGCCCATTTACAATACTACTGTGCATAAGAACAAGGTTAATATCCCACCTTTGGGAATGGCCTTAAGACACTCAGTCAGTAGCACTGCCCTGGGAGAGGGGGAGAGGGGGAGGGGGGTGTGTGGGAGCTACTCAAACAAATGGTGCAACATTACCGATGTTCAGAGGCTCCAGCTCTTTCAACCCTTTTCTCATCACAATTACTCTTAATGCTATGCTATAATCATTTCACGGCACTTGCAACACAATAAGGTTATATAAGTGCTGAAGATTAGAGGTGTTACAAGAGAGTAACAAACACAAAAAAGAAGGAGCAGAGATTAAGACGATAGATGAATTTAGAACCTTCTACATCTAAATAATTTGTTAGTACAAAAAGGTGGAATCTTTTGCTATCTATATCGCAGTCCAATAAGACCCACTTGTGCAGCTGCTGGTTAAGGACACAATAAGGGTTAGTTAGCGCTGGGGAAAAGTCAGACAAGCAGACAGAAGCGACAGAGGTCAGGTAAAGAAACAGGACCTACTTGTGGCACACTCCAACCACCCACTTAACTCCTTATCTCCGAGGAAGGTAAACCCACTACACTGGGGCCCTTTTTTGTGCTAAATATACAAATGACAAAAACGTCACTAAATCGAAACAAGCAAACCTATTTTGATAGTTCTTCATCTAATGAAGGAACTTCCGGTACACGAGACCTGTTTTCGTCAATTGCACAAAAATAATTCGATGTCAAAGTCATTGTACAGGAATGAGCCCCAGCCGCTGTCAGCGACTCACCAGCACAGTGGTTCCGACTGCGAGCCGCTGGGAGCGGCTTGCCGAAGATAAGGAGTAAACATTATCTGTCAAATTACAACTGCTTGCATCACTACAGCAAAAAAATTATAAAAAAATTAATGTATTTATTCTTCCATTTATCTAATCTTTTCCTTCTTCACTTACCTGCTACAAAAACAAAAACAAAAAATTAATGTATTTATTTAAAAAAAATAATATATCTCCTTTTCTTTTCATGTCCCATGTGTCTAGCATCGATACAATCTATCAATCAGTCATCACCTTCTACGAATTGAAGATCAAGGAAAGTCCAGCTCACAACTTTGCTTAAGGGTTAGGAAAGCATGTACATTGTACCCTCAAGCAGAAAATCCACATCAAAAAGCTGGTGTACAGACCAGGTCAGCAGATAAAAATGTACACACAACGGAGCTTCACAACCTCAAAGTCATAGCACTCACAACTAATATTCTAAAAGTCTTATTGAATGGAATGCACAAATCTCACAATATGTATACATATAAAGAAAACCGTCAATAGAATCATGAATGGTGTCAAACTGACAAAAGCACTCATTGGAACAAGTAAAACAGAAACAGGTGAGATTGGTAGTAACAAAAATGAACATTAGGTCATTATTTTTTCCTCCACCTGTGGCTTCCATCAGTGGTCGCATACAAAAAACAATTCAAAGTGCATTAAATTCAGTCATTGCCCTCCATCTCTGAAACGTTAGGAACAGAGCATTTGGAATGTCTCTGAGACAAAGGATAATACTATGGCAAAATATTCCTGCATTTTTTACAATCATCAGAACCTTAAAATATACATATTCATGCCTTGAAATCTACAACAAGAGGAGGTTGAACAACAATTTGAGGGAGCAGAATTTAACAGATTAGGCATGACAAGAAGAATTTTTTTCTCAAGCGGGTATGACAACTGTGCCCCAGCATACCTCAAACAATCCAGAATTTTCTACCTACTTAAAAGATGTCTTATAAAATGCAATTGTGTGGCCCTCAGTTCTCACACACCAATAAATTGGTCGCTTTTAAGGACAAGGGAGCTATCCCCAAAAATACTGTTTTGAAAAAATCGAAGGTAAAGTTTTTGCTCCTTGTTCAGTTTCTTTAAAAGACAAGGAGAATTTTTTTTATAACCAAAATTGCCGCAGTTAATACAAATAGCAAGAAAAAGGAAACTTTTACAAGAATGTAAAACCCATCACAATGACCATGAACATGCAAATCTTCATTGTCACAAGAAAAATGAGCAACTGTGACCTTGTTTCATAGACTAAGACTGTACAATAAAAAATTAAAGTTGCTCACTTTCCTTGCTACTGCAGAGATATACACAGGGAAAAAAGTGTTCAAAATCACTCAAAAGGTTTTAAAAAGACACGAAGACTCAATTCATTCTAGCGGACCATCAAAAGGCTGCCCAGTAATCAAACACAGAAACCTCTTGCAAAGAGACAAGCTCCTTTCTAAAAGAGAGCCATGACATCGTCAACATGTAATGTAATGTACAAAACCTCTTCAAAGTGATCAGTTTCACATGACCAAATACAAAACAAAGAAACAGCAAGTCCTTGTTCAGGCGATGGCAAACATCACTCTAACAAGCAGCCTGGAAAGAGAATCTGCTCTCTCTCTCTCTCTTTCTCAATCTCTTATACACACACACACACTCTCTCTCCCCTCTCTCTCTTTCTTTCTCAATCTCTTATACACACACACACTCTCTCTCTCTCTCTTTCTCAATCTCTTATACACACTCTCTCCCCTCTCTCTCTCTTTCTTTCTCAATCTCTTATACACACACACACACTCTCTCTCTCTCTCAATCTCTTATACACATTCTCTCTCTCTCTCTTTCTCTCTCTCCGGTAAACAAAGCACTCTATTCACAGCCACAGAATCAAATATCTGATGTGGGATCTCGTGTTATAAGTGTCACGTGTACGGTGCAAAGAATTAAAAAGAACAAACAGAAAGGTGAAAAATAATCTCATTGAAAACTTTGCAGAACTATCCATTGGCAATCTACAAATGTGTCAAAGAAGTTCTCATTCACTCCCATTCCACTTTGCTCCCAAAATTAAACAGTTCAATAATGCTACCCAGTTTTTAAAAACCCTCCTTTATTAAAAAGAAAGGTAAAAAATCGCACACTTTTTTCATGGGATATCAAGATGGATTACCACAGGTCTCGGACCAATTGGTCGCTTTTAAGGACAAGCGGGATAACCCAGATTTCGGGGTTTCCAGAAATCTTGACAAACACCAAAAGTGGGTATTGCCCAACATATAGGAGAAGTTTGGTTTAACTGGTGGGTATATTTGTTTGGTTATAGAGAAAAAACTCTCTCCTTCTCTTTCAACTCTTTGCCTACTTTATGCAGATACATCGGCTCCCGCTCCTGGCCTTGATGGACTGTGTGCCGATACATCGGCTTCCGCTCCTGGCCTAGCTGGACTGTGTGCCGATACATCGGCTCCTGCTCCTGGCCTTGCTGGACTGTGTGCCGATACATTGGCTCCCGCTCCTGGCCTAGCTGGACTGTGTGCCGATATATCGGTCCACTTAGTGTCAGTCAGTTGTTTAGTATAGGGTTTTACGGCGCTCGCAACTGTATAAGGTCATATGAGCGCGCGAAACACAAGTTAGTTTTTTTTAATACGTAGTTCACTGCACGGCTGTGTACGGGCTATTTGATCTTAAACGTTAAAATATGTAAAAATTTGGTGTAGATATATAATTTCAGATTAAAACAACTTTCATAAAAACTTTAAATATTCAATTTTGTCAAAACTACAATTTTCCATAGAGGCCAAGGGCCCTTCATAAATCCAAAATTCTGTTGGGACCAACCACGGAAAAAATGTCTTGCAATTTCTTGCATTTGAAGTATTTCCTTCGGATCTCTCCAAAGTCTAAACATTCGGTTAAAATGTGTCTAATGGTAAAATCAGGGTCAGTCAGAATTTTGTCTCGTTTCACCTCAGATTCAACTTTTTATACATCTTATTGTCAGTATAAAGTACTGGACCTCCTGTGGAACGACACTGAAGCATCAGTAGCAATAAATTCCGCGCGGTTTGATTCTGTTGGCTCAGTTTACAAGTGTGTTTGTGTTTCAAAAAAAAAAAAATCAGCTGAAAATGACCACGCCCACTCCTGATCCATCTAGACCTCCAAGACGTCTTACAAGTGAACAGGCTAGGTCAGCAGTGTTTGCTGTTTTGAGTTCTGAATCAGAGGAAAGTGGTAGTGAAGGTGAAAGTGTTGATTCTAGTCCTAGACCTAGATCTAGCAGTTGTAGAAGAGTCGTTGACCATACCAGATCTAGATCTACGAACATCTCTGAATCAGAATCTTGCGATAGTGAAGCTAGTCGTGACAATGAATACTGAAGATCAGCCCTTACTAAAGCGAAGGAGAGTTGTGGGAAAAGGCAAAGTAAAGGGAAGAAAAGCCAGCAAATGAAGCCTTGCAACAGCACCAAGAGCCAGAGTGGGGAAAAGTAGCTTTGGGAACTGAGGTAGGCGCTACGGGATTCTGTGAAACTGACTCTGGACTAAAACTAGATCTAGATCACACAGCTACTCCTATACAGTTCTTCTCTGCTCTGCTTACACAGGAAATTGTAGATAAACTTATAACAAATATAAACCAGTACGCAGACAAAGTAATTCAGCAGCACACTCCACTACGGAAGCATTCCATCTTCAATTCTTGGGAATCCATCGGCCGATATGAAATGTACAAATATTTTGCAGTCATCATTGCCATGGGTAAGGATCCTCGTCCTGCCATCAAAGACTACTGGTCACAGACTGCCCATGAATTCACCCCATGGTATAGTAGCATGTTTCCAAGGTGTCAATTTGAGTTGCGTTTTGCATGCAAGCAAGGTAGATGAAGAAGGGAAGCGAAAATTGAGTCCTTCGTGAATGAACTCTAGTCAAGTTTTCAAGATGCATTCTACCTGTATGAAAACATTTCAATTGATGAAATGGTTATCGGTTGGAAGGGATGGTTCAAACACAGACAATTCAACGCGTCGAAACCTAAAAAGTTCCATATAAAAACTTTCGGGGCTTGTGATTCGACAACAGGCTATTTGTGGAATTTACTCATTTATTTCGGAACGGGAACATTGTACCGACCAGAAGTGGACCCAACATCAGCCCATGCAGTGTAGGTTTTTGACAAATTGCTGGAACCATTGAAGCCTCACCATCACATCTATGCAGGCAGGTTTTATACATCTGCTGCACTCCTCAAAGACCTCCAGGAGAAAAACTTCAATTACACCGGAACCCTTCAAGTCAACCGAAAGGGCTTTCCACCTCAGCTCAAAACACAAACACTTGCTCACAGAGAGAAGTAGTTTTCTACAAGGATAAAAACTCTAAGGTGCTCGTAGCTAGCTGGAGGGACAAAATAGCTAAAAAGCCAAGCATTCTGGTGTCTACGCATAGTTACGGCTGGCATGGTGACTGTGCAGGAAGTTGGGCAACCAGTGGAAAAGCCGATCATGGTGCAAGACCATAACATGAAGATGAATGGGTGCGATCGAATAGATCAACTCATCTCATATTATGGCACTCATTCTCGTAACACCAAGAAATGGTGTAAAAAAGTGTTTGCCTGGATGACTGAAGTGGCCCAGGTAAATTTGCACATACTGTTCAAACTCTCACGTCCAACAGAGACAAAGCAAATGCCACTTGCACAGTTCAAGACATACTTATCAAGGAATTGACTGATGTGGCTGCAAGCATAAGCATAGCTCCCCACCCCTCTCTGTGGCTATCAGGGACAGCCTTCGGCTAAAACAGCACCTGGACATGGATGGCTGGTGCCTCTATAAATAAATCATTGATGGTCTGGTCAGGGACAGCCTTGCTCAAAATCAGGGACATTGACTAATTATCAGGGACACCTTGTATTAGTCAAGAAAAACTTGCTGCCTTTTCGGTTTATTTGCTTTACTTGGTCCAGAGTCGGACTTAGAACGCATCGCCGAACGTTTTGACGCCATCTTTTCAAACGAATGAAGAGGCCGAGCGCTGCGCATGCGTATCAGCTGACTTTGTCGGATCTGCACACCTGCCAACTCTCTCGAATTTTCGTCATTTTCCTCAGCAACAGAAGGCTAATTTTTCTGTTTAAGAAGTATGCTTGCCAAGTTTTTATTTTCCGGGACCGCCGGTCAAAATCCGTATTTCCGGGACAACAGCGATTTTTCAAGAAAATCTGTACAAAATACGGATGGCCCGGGACAGTGGGCAGCTATGCATAAGTCATCTTGCTATTCTCCCCGCACCACAAAAGGGGAGAAGACCAGAAGGCACTCCAACTGAGAGGGCACAAGGACAACATTTGACTGACTTTGATGGGGGAGATGTCAATTGTGCCTACTGCAGCACGTCTCGGAAAAGGAAACGCACCAGCTATTTTTGTACAGGCTGCACCAACCAACCTCACCTGTGCCCCAAAAATGCTTCCCGTTGTACCAGACAAATAATACTGAAAAAATAACCATGCAGAGATGAGGGATGATAGAACTGTACACAATTGTATAGAGTAGTATTGTTGTTCTTTTCTGGTTTCGACTAATTTTTATAAATTATGCATTTTCACCCAACGACACTAAAATGGATATAACTTTTACAAATGTGGACCTATCAACATGATTCCAACTGTTATTTATTGGATATTGGATGCAGTTTGCTCTACTGGAGGATACCTGGGATAGCAGCAGAATAAAAGCATTATTTGGAGGTTAGTTTTGAATTTTTATGTTATTTTTATCGTTGCCGGAAAGATCCCTCTCTTTCACTCCTTGTCGTTTCTTTATTTAAATTTATTTAGCATGAAATTAAATTTATTGTGACAGTTCATTCATTTTCCTTTGATTTCTGACCAAAACTAAAGAGATGGCTACATTTTTAGTGAAGTTATGACTGTTTTTATGATATACCCTAGGTCTGTAAAGTTTTTAGGGGAAATAATTCAGTCCGAACTCAGAAAAAAATTCAGTAGGCAAAGAGTCAAAGAAACAGAACAAACTTTCTTGACCTTCGATTGTTTCAAAACAGCATTTTTCGGGACAGCCCCCTTGTGCTTAAAAGCGACCAATAGTGAGCTGTGTGTGAGCGAGCGAGCAATTTCATTGTACGTCGTGCGGCTGGGAGGGTTTTTCAAGGAAATTTTAGGAACTCACAACTAAAAAGTGGGTCTGGACAAGGACATTGTTTGTCTCAGAGAACGTTGCTCCCAATGTCGAGCGGTAAGAGGTAATTTTTCCTGAGATCGTGCGGACTGAGCCGGTTGTAGCAGACGTTGTCCTTCTGCTGGTGGTGGAAGTGAGCTTTGTGGAAGTGGGCGGTCGTCGTGAGCACCTCGGCCTCCTCATCCTTGTAGGCTGCCACGAAGTTGGTGGAGAAGTCCTCGTGCTTGATCTCCAGCGTGTTTATCACCCACTGCAGCTTCACGTCGGAGACCAGTCGAGAGTCCTGAGCCGTTTTCACCTCCTTCATTCGCCTTTTCGTTTTGTCCATGATTTTATCGAAGCGATCCCCGTCCTGTTTGAAAGGAGTCATCAGAGTGACCTGCGAGTAAACACAAGACAATGGATCAGAGATACAGATCTATATGGTGAGTGGGTGGTTGGCATGGCGGGTGCTCTGGTGTGGTTTGCTCCTTCATTCCTATCGAAATGTATCGTCCTTCTAGCTCTCTCCTCCTCCTTTTTTGTGTCTGTTACTCACTTGTAACACCTCTAATCTTCAGCATTTATATGACCTTATTGTGTTGCAAGTGCCATAAAATTTTTACTGAAACTTAAAAAAGATTTGGTGACAGATCAGACACAAACCACAAACAAACCTTGACAATAGGCCACATTTACACTTGGACAATAAGTCACACATACACCTTGACAACAGGTGAAACATACACCTTGGTAACAGGTGAAACATACACCTTGGTAACAGGTGAAACATACACCTTGGTAACAGGTGAAACATACACCTTGACAACAGGTGAAACATACACCTTGGTAACAGGTGAAACATACACCTTAATTAATGATCGGTCACAATCACACCTTGACAAAAGGTCATAAAGACACTTTAAATAACAATAGGTGACAGTAAAGATGGTTCCAGTAGGGAACGGGATAGAGGGTGCCCACGTCCCTTGTGACTCATTGGAGCAGAGGAAGATAGGACTAACGCTAACATTACTTAAACGCAATCTCACATCATCACTCATCACCACCATTATATTTCAAATCATCCCTGCTCTCAGATCAATGATTTACGTCTATAATCCTGGAATCTCTATCTGCTATTACAGTTACTTGTTATACTAAGTATGGACGTAATACACTATTGGACACTATCATATGCACTTTTTTCTACTAATCAGATGGCGTCAATCTCATATAAATGGGCAAGGGATAAAAAAACCAACAAAAACAAAAACAACCCCCCCCCCAAAAAAAACAACCAAAAAACAACCAACAAAAAAAACAACCATAGGTGACAAATCCGTCTCTCGAAAAGATTCCCAACATGCAGTGACAGCCGATTCTGTCTCATTTTGTCAGAATATGATCTGTTTTACCACCAGATTTTTACTTACTAGAATTGATGATATGTATAACACCACACTTACAAAAAATATAAAAAGCATTATAAACTATAAACCCATCACACCCCCTTTCCACGCAGAGTGTAAGATCATGCAGCGGAAGATATGTACAGTCGAACCTGTGTAAGACGGAATCGCAAGGGAGCGGGGGGGAAAATTCCGTCTTAGACATTTTCCGTCTTGGACAGGGGAATTTAGGGGGGGGGGTTCAAAGGCCCAGCCGGTGGGATCATGGATCGCTTGTCCGATCGGCAAGCAGTGGTCAAAACTTAAAACCTCTCAATTGCTATCCTGTCTGATAATGACATGCGTCAGTTTTACTTATCCAATTACCACCAGTGCTTGCTTTTCATAGGACCACTGTTTGACCTATTAAAAACCAGAAACGTTTGAACATCTCCTTTGCTTCCACCCTTAGCCCCACCCAAAGGTGCCACCCCTCACTACCATCATTGTAACAACGATTCGAGGAACTCTTTTCTCGGCTGGCATTGGTCAATCTAATTTCACACCTCTGGCTTCTGGCTACTCAGGAAAGTTTCCGTAGTGGCTCGCTACTCAAGCACTCTCACGGGCAGTTGTGAGATTTCACACCCACACTACACTGACCATCTGCATCCCTCAGGGCTCACATGATGGGGTAACATCTACCCCCTAATTGCACCCCTACTCCTCTTCCTCATCCAGCGGCATGGCCATTGCGTTAAGTTTATAGCCGGCAGAACCAAACTTGCTAGTTTTGTTTCAAATTAGGGCTGAGCGGGCAAAGCATTTTCTGTCTTAGACAGGTGAAACCCTCGGAAGGGAGCGGATTTTTCTTTCCGTTTCCGCGTTGAACAGGTTTCCGCTTTAAGCAGGTAATTAAAGAGGAATATATCAAGGGGGGGGGGGGCGAGGAGATTCCGTTAAGACAGGTTTCCGTTAAGGCAGGTTCGACTGTACCTCCAAAATCAAAGAAAGAAAGATATAAAAGAAGTTTTTTACCATCTAGCATAAGGCTTTTGTCAGAATGAGCATAGATGTGTGTTGCTCTTATATATAACTCCAAAAGTCTTGTAATTAAATTCCTGCATGTGGTTGAATGATGCATCTGATGTGAAAGTACATTTTGTCAGCTAATCTTCTTTTTTTATATTGAATTTTGATGAGAGTAATATATAATTAAATTTTTTTTTATGTATACCTGCATGTGTTTTTACGGTCCTGTACAGCCAAGAAAAATTTCCCTCTGTGATAATAAAGTACTATCTTATCTTAGATCAAAGAGACTTTTCTTGGCCAGCGCATTGGAGAAAAACCATTGGACACTACCTACCAGCCAGTATTTCAGACCATGGAAAACCATCACAAATGGGATAAAGTAGTACAAAATAATTCTATCACCCTATAACTTTCTGCAGTTTAAGCATTCTGTTTTCCCTAGGTAATTTTTAACTTTGTCCTATTTACACTTTTATGCCCTACAATCACTATTCAACTACATGCCCTTGAGAGCAGGAAAAGCAGATCTTTCATGAAAACACTCTCCATCACTCCCTCTCTCTCCCTCACACACTCTCTCTCTTTCTCTCCCTCTCTCTCCCTCACACACCCTCTCTCTCCCTCACACACCCTCTCTCTCCCTCACACACCCTCTCTCTTCCTCACACACACTCTCTCTCCCTCACACACTCTCTCTCTCTCTCTCACGCACGCACACTGAGGTCATGTCACTTCTACACGATGAAGACACAGATCCACCCCACCTAACAGAAAACTACATAAAAATCACGAAAAATCTTAACACCCGCCTCACCTTAAAACCCGTGCCTTTATTTCTGATCATGAGCAGCATGATGGTGAAGAGCCGCTCCGAGTCGATCCTGGGAGTGACCACAAAGACATTGGCCCCCACACCGAACCAGTCGTCCAGCAGGGTCTTCCACAATCGCATGATAAACTCGTGATGCATGATACCCCCGCCGTCGGGAATGCGGTCCAGTAAATCTTGCACCTGAAAGAATAATAATAATAATAATAGATAGCATTTGTAAAGCGCAAATCCCCCCTCAACAGCAAGCTCTATGTGCTTCACAATCTATATTACTACCCCAGCAGACATGAGAGCATTCTTAAACAAACTCAACTGCCTGGGAAGCATACAGTGCAAGCAGCCATTTATAGGTGCTAAAACACTAACAAACTGACAAGATCTTTTGCTGTCTATGGCTGGGTACCCATTTCAACCTGGGTGAAGTGGGGAAAATTCGTGTAAAGTGCCTTTCCCAAGGACACGGCTCAAACTCCCGACCCCGCAACCTCGCGATTACGAGTCCAGTAACCTAACCACTAGGCCACTGAGGCCAGAAGTGTGTCACAACATCTTCACAGTTCGTTACTGTTGTTTCTCAAAAGCTCAATGGGGATGCAAGTGCTAGCATCAATACAAATTGCCTCAACCCCATCCTTAGTTTAGTTTTAGTAAAGGTTTTATGGCACTTGCAACACAATAAGGTCATATGAGCGCCAGGAGATGAGAGGTGTTACAAGAGAGTAACAAACACAAAAAAAGAAAAAGTGGAGATAAGCACGATAGATGTTTGATAGGAAAAAAGAAGCAAACCACACCAGAGCACCCGCCAACCACCCACCAACCTCATCCTACATTGCCAAAAATATGAAGGATTCGAAGAAGCAGGAGGAATGTCATGACAAGAATTTTAAGAAAGACTTGCATTAATTCCATATTTCTTTGCATAGGTGTAGGATAAATGACAAATTAACCATGGATATGGTAAAAAAAACGCTGTACAAAAAGTCTAAAACCAAAGAACAGGGAGGTAAGTTAAGAAACAGAGGATTGTGATATAAATCAACAGGCATGGACAAGACAAGATAAGAGTTGGCTTCCAACAATCAATCTGAGAATAATGTGAAAGATGAAGTTCTGCATATTTTATGAGTTCATAAACGTAAGGATAGAAAACTGCATCTCCCTTCAACATTTAATGGCAACTGAAGAACACTCTCCCTGTCTTTTAAAATAACTGAACAAGGGGCAAAAACTTGACCTTCGATTTTCTCAGAACAGCATTTTTCGGGATAGCCCTTGCGCTTAAAAGCGACTAAATATAAAACAGACTAGTCTTGCTAGACTTGGGTCTCTTAACACACGACCGACTAAAATTGAATAGTCATGAATCTTGAAATAAACATAAGCGACAAGCACACATGTTAAAAAAAAACCGAGAGATATTTCCAGGTCTGGGGGCTCCTTGAGAGAAAAGCACGTTTCACTATTTACAAGGGTCAAAACAGTGCCTAACAGCGCCTAAAATACCCCAATACCCCATCTCTCCTTTTTCAATTATCAACTTGGTGAAGGAAACTACAAGGCAACAATTAAAAAACAAGGTTCCAGTAGATAAAAACTCAGAGAAAAAAAATAGAAAAAAATGACCCACAACAGTTTGACTTTAAACAAAACACCCTTAAACTATAGATATATGTTATTTATAATACATTCTCAAGAAAGAATTCTAAACAAAAAGTAAAGGCAGTCGAAAGTTAAGTAGATTTTCATCCTATATTGAAATGAGAAGAGCATGAGCATTTCAAGCGTGGGGAAATACAATTGTGAAGGACAACAAATAGAGCAACAATGACTTAACTCTTAAAACCTCACCGGATGCTGGGAGCGTCCGATACTTGTGACAACTGTTTTGTTAATTAAATGCTATTTTTTCTTGTTTTGCGGAACTATTCTCGACCCAAGTTTCTTTTAGCAATGACTAATCCTTTGTTTCTGCCATTTAAAAGTTAGAGGCAAGCTTTTGGGGATATAATGAGACACAGTGCGCCAGGTATAGGTGACTGTAGAAAAAACTCGGGGAAACTGTGGAAAAAACTCAGGGTGTAAAGAGTTAAGAGGAACAGAAGGACATAATCTCCGAATGAGAGACTGTCCTCAGAAATTTGGGCATTTGGAAGCTTTGAAGAACCTCTATAAGTAAATGTGACAATGTAGAACTCGATTCCTCATGTCTGATGGCTGTTGTTGTTGTTGTTAGCGATCCAGTAGCATCTGAGCATTAACTCTTCTGCATGATCCCATTCTGTAATATCTGATGGCTAAATAAATGGGATAATGCTTGACTCTCACCTCTTCGTCCTCCTTGTTGAGCTGCAGGTAGCGAGTGACAGAGTTTTCCGAGACAGACCCGCCATCACTTGGGAGCTCAATGGCATCACCATTGCCCACCTCCAGCAAGGCTTCAAACGTGTCGACAAACCACGGCCAATGGTCCTTCCCGCTGACTCTCATCAGTTTTGTTGTTTTGTTGAGCTTAATGGTCACTCCCACGGTGGGCTTGATTTTGATCACATCACCTTTCTCTCTGCATTTGATGTTTGGGTAGTATGTCTTTATTGAAGAAAAGAAAAAAACAAAACAAAACAAAAACGAAACATTATTAATTAGTTTACTACACTCAGGGCTAACAACATACTTATACATCTCTCAAATTTAGTTTTCATTCATGTCATTGTCATATGAAAACTAATAAATATTAAAATATCAGCAATCGCAGTTCAAGATCCCCAAAACCACGTAAAATACAAAAAAAAATAAATAGATAATAATAAATAAATGACACTTTATTGATTCTTGAGAAAAAATTTGGGTTACAAGGGGCTGACTGCTTCTTGTAAGATTGCCAAGTACAGTATAAAACGGATAGCTCGAATTCATTGGGACTGGCCTCGGTAGTTCGTGGGATCTGTCGTTCGAGGGATATTTTACACAGATAAAGAAGAAGAAAAGAAACGGGACTGTAGGCACAGTTTAGTTTTTAGTTCTAGCAGGAGTTTTACGGCACTTGCAACACAATAAGGTCACATAACTGCCGAAGATTAGAAGTGTTGCTAGAGAGTAACAAACCCAAAATAGAAGGAGGGGAGATAAAGAAGATAGATTTTTTTTATAGGCACAGTTTGACGGATGCGTGATTTCGAGTCTTCTGTGTTCCACGCAGCAATGCTTACACTGTATGCCATGCAAAAAGTGCTGATATATGACAGGGTCTTACACTGAGCAGTAGATACAAAATAAATACATCAAATATTACTTAACCCTCTCCGTACGTCGTGTTTTACTATCGTATCCATACGGCGTGGAGCAGGTTTTACTGTATTACATGGCACTCATTATTACATAAAACTTAGACAACAATTTCTCTGCAAACTGCCTCGAGTTATAAGTATACTATACTTACTTTAAAGATCTCCATCCACCAGTTGATGATGCCCCGATAATTCGAGAACACAACGATCTGGTCCCCCTCGTCTACCATGTCGATGTCATGGCTTGTAGGGGTGCCCCAGATCTGGGCCAGCACACGCTTGCGATCTTTCTTTGACATTGGCTGACAGCTGCCGTGTTCCCAGTATACACTTTATGTATGTTCCTAACAAGAAGAGAAAATGAAAAATATTTTCACAATAAACAACAATTACAAAAGCTTGTTGAAGAAATCCCCTGTATGTGTATACTTAAAATAAAATAAATAATAATAAATTACACTTTTATTTGTCCCAGAAGGGCACTTTGGTGTACTATGGCAAACATGCATGACATACATAAATACATAATTATAAATACGTACATGCATTATAAATACATGCATAGATACATACATTAATACACAATATTTCACTAATAAAGAGGCTAATTGCATGGCAAAATCAACAATTAATTATATTATATATGCTAAGAAATAACCTTCAGCTTGAGCTTCTATTGGGGGGGGGGGGGGGGGGGACTACCTTTGGCCCTAAGCAAAAGCACACAGACTTTTTCGAAATTTCATAGACCAAACATTTTTACATTAAAATTACATACAGCATGAACTAACTTTAAATTTAACATTCTTTCCCACTGATGAAAAGCCTATACAAATTACAGTTTGTACATAACTGCCTACCTAAAGGGGAGGACTTCCGAAACAAGTGACCATTGTACTCTACGAAGAAAGATATATAGGGTTAGGGTTACGGTTAGGTTAAGCCTCGGGTTAGAGTTAGGCAGTTAGGCTTAAAGGTTTAAGGCTAGGGATAGGCCAATAGGGTTACAGTAAATGGTTTTGTTTTGGGAAGAGGAATTCCATTTAGAGCAACCACTAAGAGTAGAATAGAGAGTTACGGTTTGGGTTTGAGTTTGGTGTAGGGGTAAGGGTTGGGTCAGGGTTAGGTCTCTTCTTTATTGTGTATGTTGGGGTGGTCACTCGTTACAGAAGTTCCTCCGGGTTTGGGTTAGGGTCAGGGTTAAGGTTAGGTCCCTTCTTCTTTATTGTTTGTAGGGGTGATCTCTTGTCAATGGAAGTCCTTCCATGTAAAATTTATCAAAACGTAAACCTAAACATTTTAGAATCCCCACAAAAAAGTTCTTTCCTTTATATCTCTATCATTAAATTCAATTTTTTTGTTTTAGAAGTAAGAGTTTTACAGCACTTGCAACACAATAATAAGGCAATTTAAATGCTGAAGAATAGATTTTTACTAGAGACAGAGTAACATAGGCCTACACAAAAACGAAAGAGGAGAGATTTTATAAGGACGATAGACGTTATTATATATAAAGGAAATTCATCTTTTTATTTTGCTCTCATAGAAGATCTGCCTCATGCTCAGATATGTTCTAAAAAGCATTTTTTGGGGGTTTATTTTTATCTGCTTTTTACACCATTTTTTACTTCTTAACCCTGGAAGCGTGCAGGCCCTACATAAAGGGAGCGAACCAGGCTACCCGGGCTGACCTACTTCGACCTGGAAGCGTGCAGGCCCTACATAAAGGGAGCGAACCAGGCTACCCGGGCTGACCTACTTCGACCTGGAAGCGCGCAGGCCCTACATAAAGGGAGCGAACCAGGCTACCCGGGCTGACCTACTTTGACCTGGAAGCGCACAGGCCCCACATAAAGGGAGCGAACCAGGCTACCCGGGCCGACCTACTTCAACCTGGAAGCTCGCAGGTCCTCTATAAAGGGCATAGACGCAGACCCTTTTCAATGGAAAATTTCAGTATTCCTTTATACGGAAAATGACGTAGTGAATTACAGGTCAAAGTTAATGCCAAAATTGTTCTCAGCTCAAAAAAAAAAAAAGTTAGAGTTCAGAATAGTGCCGAAAATAGATCTAGTCTCAAATAGGTTTGGCAGGCAACTCAGTTCAGTTTTTTTTACTCGACTTCCGTTTTTGCTTCCGATTTTGTGTATAAATGTCTACGTACATGGTAACCGGGCACCTAGTCTCAGTATCTATGTACATGGTAGCCGGGCACCTAGTCTCAGTATCTACGTACACGGTAACCGGGCACCTAGTCTCAGTATCTACGTACACGGTAACCAGGCACCTAGTCTCTGTATCTACGTACAGGGTAACTGGGCACCTAGTCTCAGTATCTACGTACATGGTAACTGGGCACCTAGTCTCAGTATCTACGTACATGGTAACTGGGCACCTAGTCTCAGTATCTACGTACACGGTAACTGGGCACCTAGTCTCAGTATCTACGTACACGGTAACCGGGCACCTAGTCTCAGTATCTACGTACATGGTAACCGGGCACCTAGTCTCAGTATCTACGTACACATGGTAATAGGGCACATAGTCTCAGTATCTATGTACACGGTAACCGGAAAGAAAATAAATCAATATTTGTCCTGTGCTGTCACTTGGAAAGACAAATGGTGGTGGACGTAATGATGATGCTGTATAGTATAGTGGTGGTGGAAGTAATGATGATGCTGTTGTGGTGGTGGAAAGACCCTGGCCTGAGTTGTCGGCTATCGTGTACTTAGACACTGCCATTGGGTAGATCTAATGAGAGGGCAATCAGGGTTAGGCCTATACTTATAGTATAGGTCGGTGAGTATCACTCCAAACACTTATTCAGTATGCAGAGGTTGGTTGTGCTCGAGGTGCTCTTGTTCAAGGAAACAATAAAGAAAACAATACTTGTATAATAAATGTTTAATCAACACACAACAATTTATCACAAGCCATTAAATCTTGACCGTATTTGGAATACCACGTGAAGTACACAGCCAATCACATCCGTCCAAATACTGAGTGCAGGTGCTCGATTTAACATCGTGTCAATTTATCGGCCTCACTCAACCGTCACCACTTAAAGTTCATCACACAACTCTTCTTGGACGCTCAAACTCAAAGACTGACGTGCCCAGTAAACCAATTTTCTTTTTTAAAAATTCACCTCATCATCATAGTTTATCCACAGAATGCGCAGTAAGTACATATTTCACGGATCGACAAAAAGCGCTGCGCGATCCGCTGATCAATAGAATGCGCAACAATCGATGGATTGTCGTGCATTTCCTCAATCAACCAAATGCGCTGCGCGGTCGATGGATCGCGCAAATCGACAGATCGCGCCCAACATTGGTTCTACACCAAAGTGTAGTAGGCTAAGGCTAGCCTAGATCTAGGCCTACGTCTCATTGAAAACACGCCAAGTTGGTACCATAGCTCTAGACTAGATGCTCATCCAATGAAATTAGTTGAGAACAAATTGACCCATTATACACACATGTATTCATGTAGGCCTATAGGCTAATGCTAAAGATTAGTGTTGTTTTCAGACTTGACAAAGCTTCACTCGGTGGCAATTGACGCTACCTTGACAAAAAGTCAATTTTTGCCAATTGCCACCTCGTCACTCGGTGGCAATTGACGCTACCTTTTTTTTAAGGAAGTGGCTATTCTCACCTGGGGTGAGAATAGAAATACGATCGACCTCTCACCCCGGGTGAGACTTGCCACCGTAGGCTATTCTCACCCGGTGTAAAACAAGACCTGTTTTTCCTAATTTCGGAATACTTTCTATCAATGTGGATGATCAAATGGATAAAGGCAAAGAAAAGATTACGTTATAGCACAAAAGTAAGCTAATTGTATCGACTACAAAGATGCTATGGCTATTTCACTTTTCGAATCGAGCCAAACTACGGGGGTCGCCATTTTGTTTTGCCTGGAAGTTCTCGCAAGATCTACTCCTCCCCTCTTCTCTCTCTCTGTCTCTTTCTGAATACTGTCTATCGATGTGGACGATCAAATTGACCAAATCAAAGTTTAAAAATGATGTTAAAACACAAAAGTAAATTAATTTGGTCGTCTACAAAGATGCTACGGCTATTTAACTTTTCGAATCGAGCCGAACTACGCGAGTCGCCATTTTTGCCCGGAAGTTCTCGCGCTACTCCTCTCTCTCTCTCCACTGCCCACAGACAAAATTGTTTGCTTTTATTTTAGTAGGCTAACAGTAGTAATGGAACGTTTCTTCATGGCACAGAATTCTACAATTTTTCTGTTATCACAGTGTAGAATTCTGTGGTTTAGGGTGAACGCAAAATTGGTTGGCCTAGATCTAGAGTAGGCCCGCATCACCGCGCTACTGTTTTGGTGCGCAACCCCCGGTCTCCTGCTTTGTTTTGGATAAGAACAGCGAAAACGAGGTCATTTTCTGTGAGCATGCGCAGAATGCAGCTTATTTCACTTTCGTTTTGGAGGTTCCTGTCAACACACGTGATTCTACGGTGTCGGAAAGTTTTGCCCCTTCATATTAATGGTTTTCGTAACCGGTATCGATCAATTTACTAAGCGCTTGAGTAGTCGATTATTTAGCACATCTAGCTAATCTAGCTCTAATGTATCGTAGAATGTATACTAGAATCGATAAATACTATCGCAGGCTGCTTCTTAATGCCCAGGAACGTGCTAGATAGGGTTGCGCACTGAAGCGGACCAAATTTGGGCAGTCCGTTTCGTGCGCAATATCGGCTTTTTTGCTATTTGGCATTGATAGTGTGGCTTCTAGGCCCTTTGTTTGTTTTACTTATTAAGTTATTTCTTTATGACCTGCATTGTGCACTGAAACAGACTGTTTTCCTTCCATTTGGATGCATTATATTGCCATTGGAAGATGATAAGTTAATGTATTCATGTCAAAATTAATTAATATGGAAATATAATCTCCAAAATGTTCAATTTCTTCTTTTCATGTCTTTTTCTTCTTCTTTTTTGCCCTTTTCCTTAAAGAATACTAGTCTAGGTCTAGTCTAATTCTTGTTTTCTTCTTTCACTTCCTTGTGTCCACAGCACCTTTCTTTTTCAATTTCTTCTTTTCACGTCTTTTTCTTCTTCTTTTTTGTCCTTTTCCTTCTAAAATACTAGTCTAGGTATAGTCTTATTCTTGTTTTCTTCTTTCCCCTTCTTGTGTCCACAGCACCTTTCTTTTTATCCATTATCAAAACACATACACAAGGTGTAAGGAAATCTCCTGTCAGGGGGCGCACAGCTCCCAAAAAGAACACGCCTAATTGACCTTGGCCTTCCATTATGGTCAGTACAGGAACTTCTTGCAAGGAAAAGAAGACAAAGCAAGGATAGAGAAAGATGAAAAGTGTCAGAAAAGAGCTAGATCTAGATCTAGAGCTGTAAACATGGTACTATTGCGCACCCAACAAGACGATATGTTGCACCAAACCAGAAACCTTGCGCACCAAACCAGACACACGTTACCAAACAAACACCACCACAAAATATAGAAATTTTAAACTGCTGTTACAGTAATGCGCTACACCGTATAGAGAGGAAGTTTTTCTAACTTCTGGTGAAAAAATCATGAAGATCGACCTGTAACTTCCAGAGATATCCACAAAAGATTGCTTACTGTATATCGCACCACAGGATGTACTCTAGGCTATAACGGTGAACGCCCACCGGGTGAGAATAGCCAAAAGACTTGCCTGCGCTATTCTCACCCTTTAACTTATATTAAGCCTCCTACACTACGGAACTGATCGACTAAAAATGGGCTAACAACACAACACTAACAGTACTCCTCTGCGCTACTTGGACCTGGCAGTAGAATCTAGATCTTTTTTCCTAAGGCCACCTCTATTCTCACCCGGGGTGAGAATAGTGCTGGCGAGTCTTTTGGCTATTCTCACCCGGTGCGCGTTCACCGTTAGCCTAGATCTAGGCCAACAAATTTTGCGTTCACCCTAAACCACAGAATTCTACACAGTGATAACAGAAAAATTGTAGAATTCTGTGCTGTGAACAAACGTTCCATTACAACTGTAGCCTACTAAAACTAAAAGCGTACAATTGTCTGTGGGCAGTGGAGAGAGAGAGTGAGAGAGAGAAAGAGAGAGAACAAAACAAAATGGCGACCCGACCCGCGTAGTTCGGCTCGATTTGAAAAGTATTTATAGCCGTAGCATCTTTGTAGACAACCAAATTAATTTACGTTTGTGTTTTAACATCATTTTTTAACTTTGTTTTGGTCAATTTGATCGTCCACACCGATAGACAGTATTCAGAAAGAGACAGAGAGAGAGAGAAGAGGGGAGGAGTAGATCTTGCGAGAACTTCCAGGCGGGTGAGAATAGCCACTTTCTTTTCCTAAACCATTTAAAAACTGAGAATAAATCCTACTCCCTAGAGGTTGAGATCAAGACGTAAAGAGCTCACTTTGAGTACGTTGACTATGGTCTCTTTCGTGTTACACTGCGTCTCAGGTCTCACTCAACAATCAACACAAATCGCCATTTTGTTTCACAACAATGAAATCAAGTGTTACCAAAAATTTCATTGGTAGATGCTGGCCGTCTTGTCCAATCAAATCTACTCGCACAAAGCTGATCACAAAAACAAATAAAAACATTGCGGTGTCACATCAATCCAAATAGCCGTCATAATATTATTGATTCGCCTGCCATCGTTCTCCTCATGAAATTTTAATAATTTTACAGATATGTAGATCTAAATGTAACCAAAAAAAAACCCCAATTAATAAATGAAATAAGCTGGCTATACCTACTGTAATTTTATTCTTTTGTAATGTCAATTCTCTGCAATTAAAACAGTTTAACTTAAAGAGCAGTTTGATTTTCTTTTGTTTTTAGACATTGGAAAAATAATTTTATAATAGTCTCAGATCTTGAGCAACTGACGAGTTATGAAAAAGTGTTCGATTCTCAACGTGAAATTTGAAATAATTGGGAATCGCTTCAAACATGACTAGGGGAGTCTACATTTCTGTGAGGCTAGTCATTAACTTTGTCAAACCATTAGAATGAAGAACTTTGATAGGTAAAAAAACACGTCTTCACCGCTCATTGAACCCGGAAGAGAGTCTCCTACCCTTTTCAGTAAATCACAAACGATAACTGTGTAACAAATCAACGATTAGGTCTACCATCATTATGTCTCAAGGCTGATAAGATGTTTTCCAAATAAATTTCGTTTGTTGAAAATATTGATGGTGCTCTGACCTATCTGATCACAATTGTGACGACGTCATTATGGCCAGAGATACAAAGAAAAGCATCAAGGACTTCATTGATTATGTCACTACGCTGGAAAAGGAGGAAGACCCTGAGGGGAACGGTTTTAACAAAGAATACCGGGTAAGGTCCTTTTTCAGAAAGGATTAAGGGAAAGAAGGATGTTTATTTGAAAGATTAAATATGTAACTTCCGTGCAGACATATTTTAAGTCTGCTATTACTATTATTATTATCTTGACTGCAGCGTTGTTATAGTTTGCATTTACGTAGGCATATTATTGACCTTCTTACTTCTATTCAATGTGATCATGATCTGCTTTTCAGCGAATGTTTCCTTTACTTAATTTAAATAAAATGACTTTGACTTTTTTTGTTTTCTTCATTATTAACTTGCCATTGACAAATATACATCTAGCTGGATAGACTATAAACCTAGATTAGTACTTTTTAAAAATAATGGTTAATTTTTAAGGGAGGACTTCCGTAACGAGCGACCACTATGAGACAGAGCAGAATTGAGGGCTTGGGGTAGGGGTAAGGGTAGGGTTAGGGTTAGGTCTAGGCCTCTTGTTTATTGTGTTTGATGGGGTGGTCGCTCGTTACGGAAGTCCTTCCTTTTTAAGGCAAGTTAAAGTCATTATTAGGCCTTAGAATCTAGATTCCCCAAGGCCAAGGTGTCTTGGTGAAATCAGGTGCTCGTCAAAATAATGAAATCCAAGAAAGAGGCATTTTTCCACTAGTTTGGCAATTTTTATTGAAAGTTTGTTTTTTGGCCTAACACTTTTTATGTTCGTATGAATACACATTTCCATTTTATTCTAAAACTTTTCAAAACCTTGTTTAAAGGCAATATAATTTTCAGCTTTTGATTCAAGGACTCTTGCTATTGAAGTTACCAAACTTAAGTAGCCATTTTCTCGCTAATTATGCTTCTGAAACAGGGCGACCCCACCCCCGTCAATCGCAAATAACTTGACGTCTATTCAAGATAAAAATTGTTTTCGTCGAAGGCACGGCAAATGAACAAGGAAGTGTCTACGTGTACACGGTAACCAGGCACATAGTAGTCTCAGTATCTACGTACACGGTAACCAGGTACTTAGTTTCGGGGGCCCCTTGAGCTAGGTGCACGGTAACTGCTTCGTTCCCTTCATGACCTTGACTCCTTTCATTTTTCCCCAGCTTTTTGTGTGTGATGAGCGGAATGAAAGCATTTAAAGCACAACGAGACCATTCTATAGCCAGTTTCCCATTATTTATGGTCAAAATCCCAAAAATAACAAGAAAATAACTGTCTTTGTTGGAAGCTATCTTTTCCTCGGTATTGTTGCTTAAATTGTGGTGTCCATCGTACCTATAGGCCTCTATAGAACTGGTGAAGTGGAAGTGTGCATTTGCCTGAGCATCAACAATCGCAATTCAATGACTGAGGAATCACACACTACACCCTCTCCACATCTTTTATTTTTTAGCCTAACAGCCTAGGCATAGACCTATGTCACATCACTTTTGGAGTGGCTAACATAACGCGTCTCTCCACACCATCTCTCTCTGCCGCCTGCCCTACCTCACTCATCACTGGACTGGCCTATCACAACACCGCACCGCTGACTGCCTGTTTGGAGCCCTTCTGCAGCCCCCCCCATCGCACAACCCCCTTCCCCTAGCTAGGGCTCGCTCAATCTCTCCCGCTGTATCCAAGTTTGGGACTTTCCTTGCCCCGCTAAACCCGAGCATATAAGTAATTGAGTTTACATAGAAAAAAAGGGAATTCCTGTAAAGTCCCGCTGTAGGGATGGTCCGGCTTCAGCGGTGCCGCTGTAGTCATGTTCTACTGTACCAGGAATGTTTAAGTAGTAAAAAATAGGCTTACAAATGCCTACCTTTGGAGATCATCCTTGACCTTGACCATGATCATGGGGTCAGATGGAGTAGTCGTGCATCTATATTTACACAAGGTGTCTATGACTTTGAACTTGGACAAAGAAAAAAAAAGGCAGCTGAAATGGCCATTGTCAAACAACGTGACCTCACACAATGCACACACTGGAGAATGTCAAAGTTCACACAGTGCACACGCAACACGGCGAGTCGCACAACACAATATTTCTGTGTAGAAAGAGGGTGAACCTTCCGGTTATCATGTACGTAGACTTGTAGACTCTGAGACTATGTGCCTGGTTACCGAATGCGTAGACACTCCCAATGAACAAATAATGCCCAAAAATTGACGAGCGCCTGATTCCACTGCATCGTGAAACATATTTGTTTTGTTGGCCAGAAACGAGCAGAACTAGAGCTCCATGTTTATTTTTTTCTTGAACTTGAATAGAAGGCCTCTAGTCTAGTTTATGAAAATTAAAGATGATCTTTGGACTTATTTCCAGATTCAAACATTTTATTTGATTTTGTAGAAATAGGGTGTATTCAACTACCATGTAGCATATATTTTGAGATAACTATTTTTTTGTAAAGTTCTGAGAAGTAGGCCTATTGGGGGGGAGGGGGGAGGGAAGAGGGGGTGCTTGCCATTATTGCCAATCTATATTTTCTCTAGGCTGTGCAACTGCAAGACTCAAAATATACTCTCCTAGAGGGTGTTTTGTCTAATTTCGAAGACATATTGGCCAAGAATAAAAAATGCGGGCTCTCATGGCGTAGAGGTTATGGTGTTCGCCTCTCATTCAATAGGTCCTGGGTTTGAAAGTAGCGACGGGGATGGAAAAATTTTCTTCTCTAAAATTGTCTCCTTTCACCTCCTTTCCTGCTCTCTAGGAATGTTCTGTAGTCTGCTTTTGTCTCCACTTTCTGCCCCCACCCCCTCACCTCCTTTGCCCCCTCCTCTGGGCTCCTGAGTCTTTCTGCAGCCTTTCAACTGCTTCTCCTTGGCTCCTTGTCTTTCAGTCACACCCCTGATCTTATGATAGGAAAGGTCTACACATAGTCTTCTCAGACTAGAGCGAAAAATCTCTGAGGTTCTGTGTGCAAGTTGCGCACATTAAAGATTCCTTGGTGGTCTAAAATCGATAAGAGTAGGCTTCAGCCGCCACTGGGCAAAATTCAAAATTTCCTACCCATTGAAAATGTTTAATGTGTCCCGCGCTATCTGCTGTCATTAGACTATTAGACTATGTTGTTGTTCTTTTCCAGCTGATTCATGAGTTCCAAGTCAGAAAACGCAGGGAGAATGCTTTCAAAATGGATACTGGCAAACTTTACAATAACTTGAAGAAAAACAGATACAAAGATATTTTACCATGTAAGTTGAAACTTTACAGTGTGGTAGCTTATATATATGCTCATTATATATTTTTTGTTTTGTTTTGGTTTGTAAATTTGTTTTTCATACTCTCACTTTTCTCTTTTATTGAAATCATATAATTTTCCATCTTTAAGAAAAGAAAAATTTCTAAAATAACATCCTCCATTTGTTGAAAAATGTTTCATGAATGTGATCTCAATTTTGAGGTCTGTTGCAGAAGAAGTGTTTTCTTTTCAACATTACGATCGTTATGATTAATCTCAGTACATTTTTCCATCCAATGTAGTGGAGTACAAATTTTGTGTATCTTAAGTAAAAATCGTTGATTTTACAGAACAGGGAAACTTACTTCTCGGATAGATTACATATTTTATATAAAAAAAAGAACAGGCATGCATACGTCCCTTGTAAAGAAACTTAATAGAAGGGAAATCTAATCTATGCTTGGATTTGCAGATGGCTCAGTTTGTATCATATTACACGCCATATAAAGTGGGGATAGCCCATTTTGACTTCCCCAGCGGAGCGTTCTAATCTTCAACTAGGGTTGTTTTGAAAGTTTTTTTTACGGCTGGTATGGAATTGTTTTAGACTTTAGTTCATTTCTGTTGGTGATGCTCGATAAGCTCAGCTGCCCCGCTTCTTACATACTTATAATGGATCAGCTATTGTAAAAATGTTTACCCCATAACCATACTTATTTATACTTTTATTTATTTTTCAGAGAGAAGTTAATTTCTTTATGTATGATGTCGTAGGAAAACCAAGGCATTGTCACAAAAACCACTTCGTGTGATCAGTAGAGCTCTATATTTTGTTACTGTCAATGCTTTGTTAACCTGTGGTACACTTTGAGTGTTCATTGTCTTTTCCGTGGTCATCATATACCACCATTTTTATTCTTGTTTTCACCACAGAATTTGAAATAGTCCTTATTTTCACTTTGCTATTCAGCCTTATCGGTCGGATGCTGAAGCTCCTTACTTTTCTCTCTCATTTACCTTTTCTAGATGATGAACACAGAGTTATTTTGACTGAAGTAGAAGGTGAGGAGGAGTCTGATTACATCAATGCCAGCAAACTCATGGTGAGATTAACTATTCATTGTAGGGGGTAGGCGGGTGCTCTGGTGTGGTTTGCTTCTTTCTTTAATTAATATCAAACATCTATCGTCTTTATCTCCCCTCCTTCTTTTTTGTGTTTGTTACTCTCTCGTAACACCTCTAATCTTATATATAACCTTTTATATATAACCTTTTTGTGTTGCAAGTGCCATAAAACACTTACTAAGAACTAACTATTCATTTGCTTTTTGAATGAGAAATGATTTGGCTTCTTGATTGTCATTAAGTATGTGGAAAACCAAATTAAGGGTACAGAATAGTCTGTAGAAAAGTAAGCAGGACATGTTGTGTCTTTCAGACTCTTCAAACATCAACATTTACTTTTCTTCAGTATGTTTAAATTCAGATCCTTTGTTTCTTTCAGCATGAAATGATTATATAATTAATTGTCATTGGTCTCAACAGTCCGCTATTTAGCGGATTTCAGCTACCGCCATTTCCTCCGCTAAACTCCGCTACCGCAACAGTGGGCCAACCAGAAAGAGAGTTGTTGGGAGCAGGGTGACAACCAGGCCCCGGGGATTAAAAATAAATCGCCGAGACCCAGGAAAATACATAAAAGATCTCGAATATTTTAAAACCAAATCCAGTTACGTCTTTAAGTTCATTTCTGCCGGTCGCGATTGTGATATTAATTAGACTCTGAGAGTACGTTTCACGCGAACTGGCGGCTTTAGCGGCAAGCGGAATTGTGTCACCAATGCTCGACTGGAAAATCAAGATCTACTTTTGCTTTCGTTACCACCCTGAAATTTGTCAATAATTGTCTGATAACGCAACGTTTATTGTAACAGGCAGGTTCGGCATTACAAACGTGGCGTCGCCATGAAAATAAATCAATATTTGTCACTTTGCTGTCACTTGTGGGGGCAAAAAAAAAAAGAAAAGAAAAGAAAGTTATACAAGCGTCTTGTCGGGCTCTCCATTGTGACCGGTCAATGAACCTGCGCGCGTTCTGAGCGCTGCGAAGTACAGGACTCAGGAATGGGGGGGGGGGGGGGGGGGGGGTATTATTGATTCTTTTAAGAGACGCACTCGGGGATAGGGGGAGGGCTGGACGCAACACCAGAGGACAAAAAACTGAAACTGGAAATAAATGTTTAATGTATAGAATTTTGATTACTACTTCAGCTCTCTGCAAAGTAAATTGTGTGTTGGTGCGGGCCTTGTGTGAAATTGGGAACCGTCATAACTTGTAAGCGTGTTGTGGAACTTAGGGGCCTAAGTGTTCGCGCTTCATTGGATTGGTGACAGTAATTAGATCTCTGCTATATTTTAGCTTTCTGTTCAAGATTCGCAGATTTTCAGTATCATCGCATATTGCCCTCCCACAGTTCTTACACCTCTCACACTGAATAGGTCTACTTGGGCTACTCTACTCTACTTTGAGTTTGAGCATTAATTTTTGTCTTTCACGTTTATTATATAGGCCTATATATATGATATGAATCATGACAGTCGATATTCTGGTTCTAGGCTCAAAACGAGATTAAATTTTATATAGTTTATATACACAGGCGAATATATGATGAAGGGAAATGTAAATAAGTCGCACAAGACCCCAGGCACCGCCACTTTCTGTACGTAATCAAGATTGTTAATATTTGGTACGTGAATCTTACTTGAAATTATCTCCCAATCCTCAAATTGGTGTGAAATAACCTTGCTTTGATAAATTGATGGTTTTTATTTCAGCATTCTAGGGTTCAATAGTATAACCATAATCATGGATGTTTCGCGAAAATGGGCTTCTGTGGCGATCAACCGGAAAGTTCCTCCTTTTTTAGAATTCTGAGTTGAGAGCCATGAATGTTGATTCTGTACTTTTACTTTTAGTTCAAGCCAAGGACAAATTTGAAAGTTTTAAAGTGATCCTTGGTTCAAACCTATAATAAGGACAGTGATACTTTTATGAAGCATTCTACTTTTGTGTTTTATGTCATCTCAGGGTGTCCATACTGCATCTGTGGAAGATGTAGATAGAATAGGCTACATTCACTTTCGGAGAGGGAAGGTTTTTTTTCTGGGGTGTGTCTATTTGTCTGCAAGGATGTTGTATCCCACTCAGCTCAAGTTGGCCCAGCAGGCAGGGTCAAAGCAACCTGCCTTTTAAATTATCTCATTTGTGTCGAGGGGGGCGTAAAACATTTACAATTGGTTGCTTTTAAGCACAAGGGGGCTATCCCGAAAAATCAAGTTGTTTGGAGAAAATCGAAGGTAAAGTTTTTGGACCCTTGTTCAATTTCTTTAAAAGACAAGGAGAGTTTTCTCAATAACCAACCAAATATACACACCAATGAAATCAAGCTTCTCCTATAGGTAGGGTAATGCCCACTTTTGGTGTAGGTCAAGATTTCTGGAAACCACCGATATCTTACTCTGTTTGTCCTTAAAAGCGACCAATTACTGCTACAGGGGTGTCCTTTCCAAATGTCAATACTAACTACTTCAATATGTATTCAAATTCAGGGGCTTTGTTTCTTTCAGTGTGAAATGATAAAGCATATTGTTGATTTTGTAATTTAGCTTTAAGCTCAAACTTGGGATAAACTGAGTTTTATTAAACATTTCATTGAGTGTTTGATGTTGTATCAGGGCGTCCGTTTGGCATCTGTGATGTAACGGTTGTTAGGTTCTTTTCCGTTGCATGCAGAAGATGCAAGTTCCAATCCCAAGAGTGGAAGGTTTTTATGGAATGTTCACCCTTTTTTGCCGGGATACTGTATCTCAATTATCCTGGGTTGGTCACAACAGGCAGGTTTTAAAGCAGCCTTTCTCTTAAATTGTCTAAATAGTATTGATGAGGGGTGTTGTACACTTTCAATTGGTCACTTTTAAGCACAAGGGGGCTATCCCAAAAAATGCTGTTTTGAAAAAACTGAAGGTAAAGTTTTTGCCCCTTGTTCAGTTTCTTTAAAAGACAAGGAGAGTTTTCTCTATAACCGAACAAATATACACACCAATGAAACCAGACTTCTCTTATAGGTAAGGCAATGTCCACTTTTGGTGAAGGTCAAGATTTCTGGAAACCCCCAAAATTTGGGTTAGCCGGCTTGTCCTTAAAAGCGACCAATTACAATCTTAAGACAAGATAAGATAATATTTTATTATCCCAGTGGGAAAATTTTCTTGGCTGTACAGGACTGTAAAAACACATGCAGGTATACGTAGAAATTTAAATTTTATACATAATTTTCAGGGTGTGCGGGGCACAGGTGGCTACATAGCCAGTCAGGGTCCCCTGGCGGCCACGGTCACTGACTACTGGCGCATGGCCTGGGAGTACAAGGTGGAGATCATCTTCATGGCCTGTCGTATTGTGGAGCAGGGCAAGGTGAGAGCATTGTGGAGGATGCAGCCTCTTTTAACCCTATCCGTACGCCCTGGGGTGATTTTGTACCCCTGGGGTTATATTCTTCACATTTTAGAATACTTCTAGTACGAAGATCTTTTTGATACTTTCAGTATTTCTCAAAAAATTATTTTGACAGACTGCTATGCAAAGCGTATGGATCGGATTAACGAGTAAATTTCCTCTTTGAAAGTGGTGGCACAGAGTTCCCCGCGTCGTATGGATACGATAGTAAAACGTGACGTATGGATAGGGTTAACCCTTCAAGCCCCAGCCATTTTTGTGCTCCACTTCCTAACCCCAGTCCCAGCCAGTACAGCGGTATTTCAGAAAAAGAGGCATGCATTCTAAAAAGCGATGTAGCATCTTAATAATGAGTTTTTGATAGTAACATATAACAATGTTTAACACCTGAGGCAATAACGTGACTCTGAAAATTATCATTTCCGGTCACCTGGCGCAGATCTGCACTAGGCCGAAGAAGTCTGTTGCAGTCACTCTCCTGGCTGGGTGACCAGATGGGGTATTTTGTACTGTTAGCTGTGTGACTGCAAAGTGTTAATGGTAAATGGAACAAATATGAAAATTGAAATTTAATTAGGTTCACTGCCATTTTAAAAAATGCACAAATTCTGTACCCCACGAAACCCCACGAGTATAGGATCTTGGGACAGTGGCAGGTGTAAGCGCTGCGGAAAATATATGTGCATGGGGCTGGAAGGGTTTCGTTTCGTTTTAGTTTTAGTTTTCGCTCGTTTTACAGCATTACAGCACAAACAGTCATAAAAATGCCATAGATTAGAGGTCTTATTGGAGAGTACTATACAAACAAAGAAAAAAAGGAAGAAATCATCCAAATTTGGCTTAGTGTTTTTTTAGTACCTGCTATAATGTTTTATTAGGCTTGCCAGCTGTTTGGAATTTTGCGAGACAGTCCACATTTCTTCAACAAGAAATTAGAGAGTCTTATCACATAACTACACTATTACCAGTCCCACTTAATGTAATTGTGTTTGTTATTATAAGAAATGTAATCTGTTATTAAGGTGGGTGTCACAGATTGGGTGTTGAGAAAGGTGGCAAGCATGATCTATGTATCTGCCCAACAATCTGATATGGTCAGTAACAGAATATACACTTGCTGTACTCAAAGAACTTGTCTAAGTGAAGCATACTTCTTAGTCATGCACAACTTTAAAAAATCCTTTATAAAGGGACAATTTGAAAAAGGTGTGGCAAGCATGTTATATGTATCTGTGCCCAGCAATTTGATATGGTCTGTAGCAGAATATACACTATTATTTACTTGCTGTACTCAAATAATTTCTCTAAGTGAAACATACTTCTTACTCATGTGTAACTTTAAAAAAATCCTTTTTATGGGGACTTTTTTTTAAACTTCCAGTTTTCACTTGTAAATTAGCCATTGTTGTTTGCTTGCCCTCTCTCCCAAAGTCCCCAAAGTTTACTGCTATTTCTGTCACGCAATACGGGGCTGTCAATTGAATTGACTTCTTAATAGCTGTTGTAGCCACAAGTTTTAGCCCTTGGAGTCAATAGTCTTGGGCTGCTTTTTCTTTCCTCATCCTTACTGTCATCATTTTCCTCTACTTCTTTTGTATGTTTGTCAAACTCTTGTGACCCGCTATTTCCGGGGTGCCTTGGTAGTCGAAGCAGACTTTGTGCTGTTGAAGCTAGAAAGGTGAGCAGAGTAAGCCTGATTCCCTGTGTAAAGACTTCTCTGTTGACATCCACCCCTTGGTGCTCACATGACCGTATGCAATTGCGAATGTCGTAAAACTTCTACTAAAAAAAAAAAATTTGTTTTTTTAAAAAGTTACTTGTGGCCTATCAAGTCAAAACTTGACTCTTTTCCTCATTGCTGTTGCACAGATCAAGTGTAAACAATACTGGAATGACCAGGACAAGTCAGATGAGTTTGGAGACATAACGGTATTCACGGTAAGTTCTGTGATGTCTCGTCTGTCTCCTCAGTGGGGCATGTTGTTTGGTACAGCAGAAGAAAAATAAAGTTGGGTTTAGGTTGGGTTTTTTGTTCTTTTCTTTTGGTCTGGATCCCGATCAGATTATGATGTAGACTGTTAGCAGACGGGCAATGGAATGGATCCTGAAGAGGTTGGGGGGGAGCAGAGATCGACACAATCCGACTGTAGTGACCCCAACACTGAGAGCAAGGATTGATTTCTTTTAGGGTCTTTTTTTTGTCAGGGGAGGGGCGAGGTGTGTTTAAATCTTTGAATCCAGTGTCTGTGGTCTAGTGGTTAGGTGCTTCGCCGTGGCAGGCAGGAGACGTAAGTTTAATTGGTCGCTTTTAAGCACAAGGGGGCTATCCCCTTGTTCAGTTTTTTTAAAAACAAGGACAGTTTTCTCTAAAACCAAACAAATATACACACCAATAAAACCAAACTTCTCCTATAGGTAGGGCAATGCCCAATTTTGGTGCAGGTCAAGATTTCTGGAAACCTCCGAAATCTGGGTTAGCCCGCTTGTCCTTAAAAGCGACCAATTTCAGTGTGGGGAGAATTTTTACCAAGATCCTCTGTCTGTCTGCTGGGGCAGGCAGGGTGGAAGCAGTCCACATACTTAATGATTTACTTTAATATTGTGTCAATGAGAGATAAAAGCATTAACAGTTTCAATTAAAAATTTGAAATTCAGAAGAAAAAAAAGGATTTGGAAGCTTCTGTTTGTCTTTATTGAACTCCGTGGGAAATTCAGGGTTATAGGGACATGTTTTGTACTTAATAGATAAGCAAAGGGTCACACATTACAAGAAATCACAAAATCTCGCCCTACTTTCTAAGTCGGCAAGCTATTTTACAAATACACCATTGTCCATTGTCTCCATACAGCGCCTTCTTTTTAATTTCTAGTAAATGTCTCACTCAAGGAAGCGCGCTAGTCACTGCTCATCCAGTTGCCAGCAAGGAAATATATTTTTAAAAATTTTATCTAAGCTACACAAGAATTTTATCCAAGCAAGCACATTCCTGATATCTGATAACGAAGAAGACGGGGTATGTTGGATTGTCGCTTTTGCTTTGAAGCTGTTTCTGTACCAGAATTGTGAAGACTTCTCGTTGAGAGAAAAATAAAGACTAATACAATTATGAAAGAGAATATGTGACTTATTAAGAGACCATAGTTTTTGCTGTGTTATTTTGCCTTTTTTGGGGGGAGGGCCATTCACAGATAAGTTATTAGGTTTTTAAAAAGTTTGAATATGATGTGCAAAAAAGTTGTTGTCTTTTGTCAATGATATTTGTTGTGTTCAGGAGAGTGAAGAAGAAATTAGCACCTTCGTCATCAAGAGAAAAATAAAGACTAATACAATTATTTAAGAGAATATGTGACTTATTAAGAGACTATGGTGTTTGCTGTGGTATTTTGCCTTTTTTTTAATGGCCATTCTTGGATAAGTTACTAGGTTTTAAAAAAACTTGAATATGATGTGCCAAAAGTTGTTATCTCTAGTCAATGATATTTGTTGTGTTCAGGAGAGTGAAGAAAAAATCAGCACCGACTTCATCAAGAGAAAAATAAAGACTAATACAATTATTTAAGAGAATATGTGACTTGTTGTTGTTGTTGTTGTTGTTATTGATCCAGCAACAGCTGGGCTCTCGCCCTTCTGTCCAATGCCATGTACTGATAAGTGCAGGTTTGCTGCAGTTGCTGTAATGTTCCATAGAGTGTGCTGTCAATGTTAGGTCTCGGAGGGAGAAGTGTGGCTCTGATATCTTTTAGGGCTGTGCAGTGGAACAGGTGATGATCCAGTCTCATATGCATAGTCACACAAGGGACACTTTGGGAGAAGTTCCGGGTTTATTCTGTTCAGGTGGAAGTTGAGCTGTATATGTTCTGTTTGTATGTGACTTATTAAGAGACTATTTTCTCTTGTCAATGATATTTGGTCACCTTTAAGCACATGGGGGCTATCCCGAAAAATGCTGTTTTGAGAAAATCGAAGGTAAAGTTTTTTGCCTCAAGTTCAGTTTCATTACAAAACAAGGAGAGTTTTCACTATAACCAAACAAATATACACACCAAAGACACTAAACTTCTCCTATAGGTAAGGCAATGTCCACTTTTGGAGAAGGTCAAGATTTCTGGAAACCCCCATAATCTGGGTTAGCCCGCTTGTCCTTAAAAGCGACCATTTGTTGTGTTCAGGAGAGTGAAGAAGAAATCAGCACGGACTTCATCAAGAGACTGTTTGTGGTGAGCCGAGGCGACGAACAACGACGTGTGGTTCAGTTCCACTACTCCGGATGGCCGGATCACGGCATCCCCAGAGATCCGGCTCACATCAGAGACCTGATCGGCATCATGCGACAAGCTCGTCAGAACGACAGCGCTCCGCTGTTAGTTCACTGCAGGTGAGGAGACTAGGTGGATACTCCCTAATGTTTTATTCCTCGCCCCATTCTTATTTAACTTTTTATCTCCAGTGGCTCGCAGTCAGAACTGCTTTGCCCGTAAACCGCTGGCAACAGCTCGGGCACATTCCTTTACAACGACTACGACATCAGATTACTTTTCGGCAGTAAGGTCTCTTTTATAGAAAGTTAATTCATTAGATGAAGAATTATCGAAATAGGTGGACTTGTTTTGATTTTATGAACCATTTAGTGACGTTTTTTGTCATTTTTAGATTTAGTACCAAAAAAGGGGCCCAACGCAGTGGGTTTACCCTCCCCGGACATAAAGAGTTAAGTCAAAGGTGTTGTGTGTATCTGCTAGAGCTGTCGTTGAAGTTTTCTACAGTTGTATTTTTCTTCAGTTTTGTAAGGAAAAGGTTTTATTTCTGTTGGCGTTAGCGTTGGACAGGGCATAATAGCCTTGTCATAACAGGTGTAAATATTTTGAGCTTATTTTATTTTTGTATTCTTCAGTGCTGGCTGTGGCAGAACGGGTGCTATCATTGCCATTGACTTTGTGTGGACACTTTTAGAGGAAGGGGTAAGTCTGATGTTAACCCTTTGAGCCATGACTCTGCTGACTCTAGAACACCCCCTGCCTGGCCTCGTCGGCCATTTTAACCCTATCCGTACGTCAACTTTTACTACCGTATCCATACGACGTGGTGAACTCTGTGCCACCACTTTCCAAAGAGGAAATTTACTCTTTGATTCGACCTGTATGCTTTGCAAAGCAGTCTGTCAAAATGATTTTTTTGAGAAATTGTGAAAGTTTCAAAGAGATCTTCTCAGTAGAAGTATTGTAAAATGTGAAGAATACAACACGGGGGGAACAAAATGACCCCAGGGCGTACGGACAGGGTCAAAGGGCAGGCAACAACAAGCACACTATGAAAGTTGAATATTTATGTTTCTGATTGATTGTGTCTGATGGCAGGAAATGTGCTTCAATTTTGCCTCTGGTCTGCCACTGGTCGGACATATGTGAGGCAGCGTGGTGAAATCAGGCACTCGGCAAAATAATGAAATCCGAAAAATCAGCATTTTTCTTCCAGTTTGGAAATTTTTTTTCTCAAATTTTTGCTTTTTGGCTCAACATCTTGTACGTCCATTCAAAAACACTTTTATGTGTGGATTTTTATGGAAAAACGTTGATTAATGGCACAAAAAGTGTAAAATTGCAGTTTCCAAGGATTCTGATGCTATGGAAGTCACCAAACTTTGGTGGCCATTTTCTCGATAATTTTACTTCTGAAACCAGGCTACCCCACCTCCTTCAATCGTCAATATCTCAACTTCTATTCAAGATAAATGGATATTTTTTCCCCTAGAAGGCAAGGCAAATGAACAACCTTTAAGTTGACACCTATAACGCCACATGCCCAAAAATTGAAGAGCGCCTGATTCCACCGTGTCATGACACATATGTGTCTACTGTGTCCTTAAAGACTTTATGTGTCGGTGAGAGTGTTAGATTCTTTCAATTGAAGGGTCTTCTAAAAGATCTTTTTTCTTAGACACATGTGTTGGCTGGGCCATATTTATATCTCCTTTTTGTTTTGTATTTTCCGTACACATTTCATTTTCTCCTCAAATATGCGTTTGTTTCTAGTTCATCTTTCTAACTTGTAACTTTTCTTGTTCTTGTTCTCAGAGGTTTGATGAAACTTTCAGTCTTTATGAGCTCATCTGCAACTTCCGCGAACAACGCATGTCCATAGTACAGACTGCAGTAAGTGAACACCTTAACTAACTCTGCGGGTGGTTGGCAAGTGCTCTGGTGTGGTTTGCTCCTTGTTTCCCTTCAAACATCTATCATCCTTATCTCTCCTCCTTCTGTTTTGTGTTTGTTACTCTCTTGTAACACTTCTAATCTTCGACACTTATATGACCTTATTGTGTTGCAAATGTCGTAAAACTTCTCTGCCTCTACAATTTTAGAAGATTCTTTTGTACTTGCAGTTTTTTAACCTTACAGACAATCTGCAGCAAACAAACTCAGAGGTCTCTTGACAAAATTCAAAATCAAGCTGTACGATTTATCTCCGGAGCTTTGAGATCCACTCCGACTGCAGCTTGTGAAATCCACACGAACCTGGAACCCTTGGACTTGCGGAGAGAGGCAGCAGTTGTGGAGATGAGTGAGCGCTACAAAAGACTAGAGAAAACCCACCCAAACAGGAAAATAATTGAACAGAGACGACCGAAGAAACGGATTCATGGAAGATCAATACTTGACACAGCCACTGAACTAGCAGAAAAACACCATCTTCCATGTAACAGAGAAATGCTGAAACCCTTAAGACCAGAACTCCCCCCAAACACTAACATCAAGAATGCCAACATCAAAACTTCCCTCATAAAAGAGACAGTGAAAAAAGATGTGACCCAGTAGAACTGAAGACAACAGCTCTGATGACAATTGACTCCTACCCTGGTGATTCAATTCATATTTACACAGACGGGTCAGCCTTCAAGGGAACTATAAACGCAGGCTTTGGAGTAAGAATTGAACATCCTGACAAAACATGTGAAGAGCTATTTGATGCATGTGGTACTTCTTGTACAAATTACGAGGCTGAGGCCATCGCCATTGAAGCAGCAATCCTCCACCTGACCAACATTTTCATAATACATCCAAACAAAATCAAGAACACTATTATCTTCACAGACGGAAAGTCAGTACTCCAAGCTTTGGAAAACTTGAATTTCGAAAGCCCAGCCTGCCTATCCGTGGCTCAAACAATCAACACCTTCCTACAGACCTATGCCGTCGACCTGACACTACAGTGGATACCTGGCCACAGCAACATCCCAGGAAAGGACAGAGCAGACACCCTTGCCAAAAAGGGAGCATCACAAACACAACCTCACAACCCAGTATCACAACAGACAGCCAAGAACATCATCAAATGCAACACCAGGGAACAGTGGCTGAATGGATGGGCAATGGGCAAAACTGGAAGAACTGTATTTGCACACATGACAGCCCCCAACTCTAAAGATGCACTAAATTCCCTAAGTAGAAGAGAACAAGCCACGATCTTTCGCCTACGAACACAACACATACCACTAAATTCTTACCTTAATAGGATCCGCAAGGATACCCCACCCGACTGCCCGTTGTGCGACTGCCTGGATGAAACAGTATCACACCACCTCTTTAACTGCCCAGCACTTTGTGACCTGCGTAGAAACTACCTACCTGCCTCCCCAGACATTGGAAATACTCTATACAGCGACAAAGCACAGCTGATTGAAACCTGCAAATTCTTTGCCATATCAACAGACCGAAGGGCTAGAACCCAAATGGCCGCTGGATGGGAAAAGTAAAGTAAAGTAAAAGTACTTGCAGTTTGTTAGTGCTTGGTTATTGAGATGTGGTGATAAGTGAGTGTTTATTATATTCAGTGCTTTAGGCCATTGGCCCACATCTCATAAAAGACACATATTTACAACAGAGACTTTCGCGGCAACAGCATAAATTAAAGATGACATATATTTCCACAACATTTTAAGTTCGATTACGATGTGTTAAAGGATACTGGTGGGTGGTTGGTGGGTGCTCTGGTGTGGTTTGCTTGTCTTGTAACACCTCTAATCTTCTGGCGCTCATATGACCTTATGCAGTTGTGAGCGCCGTAAAACCTCTACTAAAACTTACCCTAAAAGGATACTGTGACCTTCAGTCTTTCAGCGTTCCGTGTTTCCTCTTCACGGTTTCTTCGTTTTTGTCATACATTGCAGCATGACTGAAGTAAATGTATTGTATAGCGCTCTGTGTTTGATGCCCACTTGGCTGTGACCCGCCTATATAATTATGCTTTTAAATTGGCCAGACAAAGCCATACTCCCCGGGGGCGGTGCTACTGACCGAAGTGTCTGTAGGGGACATTAACATCTCGAGTTCTTATGCACAGGAGAATTGTAATTGTAAATGGGCTGATTCATCAATATCATGCTCATAACTGTGCCTGATCTGCAACAGGGAACTGCTGCTTTTTCTTTCCTAATCCTTACTATTGTCATTTTCCTCTACTTCTTTTGTATGTTTGTCTCACTCTTGTGACCCGCTATTTCTGGGGTGCCTTGATAGCCAAAGCAGACGTTGTGCTGTTGAAGCTAGAGAGGTGAGCAGAGTAAGTCTGATTCCCTGTAAGGATTTCTCTGTTGACATCCATCCCTTTGCGCTCATATGACCTTATGTATTTACGAGCGCTGTAAAACCTCTACTAAAACAAACAAGACAGAACAATGATCAGGTTTGCGTTTCATCTTCGTGCTGGCGCAATGACATAACTCAGAGCTGTGCCAAAATGTAATTGAACTTTTATTTTGTTTGGTGGTACTATATAGATAGATATATATATATATATAGATAGATAGATAGATAGATAGATAGATAGATAGATAGATACTTTCTATCTTGCAGTTTAAGGTCATCAGCTGACAAAAAGACATTTTTTTTTACCCTCTATGAAACTTAAAACAGTGGGTGAAAGGGCATTTAAATATCAAGGCCCCAAGATCTAGAATGCTTTGCCGAGTACTTTAAGAGAGATCAAATCTTTTGATTCATTCTAATGTCAGCTGAAGACATTTCTGTTTTTTAGATTAATAAGATGAATATTTGGAGTGATTTTCTTTTAGTCAGACCACAACGTTATGTTACTGTTGTACGTTGTACTGTATTGTACAGCGCTCAGAGCCTGTGTACTTTTATCAGGGTTCAGTGCTATATAAATGTCATTTATTATTATTATTATTGTTATTATTATAATAATAATAATAATAATTATTCTTATTATTTTTATTATATTTATCTTTTGGAAAAACCAAAAAAAAAAATGTGCTGGCTGTCACATAAGAAACATGCATGGCAAGTTTTACCATTATTAGATAATAAATAGTCTAATTAAACAGTTTTTTCCATTTATCTCAAAAGTAGCAAGAATCAAATGTGCCATTTTGCTTGCGCAGTGACAATTTATTTGTGAAGAGTGCAAGGTGTAAATGCACCAAACATTAGACAAGTCGCGACCTCAGTACTCTCTTGTCATATCTCAATTTTTAATAACAGCGAAAACAGTTCATAACAAAGCATGAGCTGAAGAAGAAGTCATATTTTCACTGTTTAAACAAATGAAGGTACGACAAGAAAGCAATGGGGTCACGAAGTGCTAAGTCGATTTTATCTTCTTTTTTTTTTTAAGAAAGTAAAAAAAAAAACCCCAAAATCTCTGCTATAAATTAGTTTCCGTCTTATGCTGAAGAGGTTTGCTCATTTTCTTGATTGGAATGTTGTTGTATACTCCATTTGGTCGCTTTTAAGCACAATGGGGCTATCTCGAAAAATGCTGTTTTGAGAAAATTGAAGGTAAAGTTTTTGCCCCTTGTTCAGTTTTTTTAAAATACTAGGAGAGTTTTCTCTGTAACCAAACAAATATACCCACCAATGAAACCAAACTTCTCCTATAGGTGGAGCAATGCCCACTTTTGGTGTAGCTCAAGAATTCTTGAAACCCCCGAAATCAGGGTTAGCCCGCTTGTGTTTAAAAGCGACTATTTGTCCAACTGTGCTGGCAGTGACATTATAATAATGTGAACATTTCTTTCTTTTTCGTGTCCTGCAGGAGCAGTATGCACTTGTGAACCAAGTCCTGCGCTCTCTCTGTGAGGAATGGGTGGCCAAAATGGCTTCCCACACCTATGAGAATGTGGAGATAGAAGGACAGGTACGTCACACAAATTTGTACCGTACGTGTTTTCAAATCATGTTTCCTTGATATACTTGTACCTTTTTTGAAGTTGAGAGTTGGTGGGTGCCCTGGTGTGGTTTGCTTCTTCTTTCCTATCAAACGTCTATCGTCGTTATCTTCCCTCCTTCTTTTTTTGTGTTTGTTACTCTCTTGTAATACCTTTAATCTTCGGCACTTATATGATCTTATTGTGTTGCAGGTGCCATATGACCTTATTATATTGCAAGTGCCGTAAAACACTTACTAAAACTAAGCAGCTGTGTGTTAGTTAGCTTCATGTTTTCATGGTTGCTGCCCCTTATGTGAAATTTTATCTGACTTGTTCATGTGGGTGGTTGGCGGGTGCTCTGATGTGGTTTGCTTCTTCTTTCCTTTCAAACGTCTATCGTCCTTATCTCCCCTTCTTCTTTTTTATGTTTGTTACTCTCTTGTAACACCTCTAATCTTCTGGCGCTCATAGGACCTTGCCTTATGCAGTTGCGAGTGCCGTAAAACCTCTAGTAAAAACAAAAAACTAACTTGTTCATACATGAGGCAGGGTGATGAAATCAGACGCTTGTCAAAATAATGAAATCAAAGAAAACGTAATTTTTCTTACTGTTTTTGTTGTTGTTGTTGTTGTTGTTGTTGTTGTTTTTGTTTTTTTCATGATTTGACTAGAGCTAAATCCAATCTGTAATATGCATACTGACTTCATCTCTGATTTTTGAAAAATACTCACTCTTGTTGTTTCTTTGTGTCTACAGGATTATGCCAATGTTGGATCCAAAGAAAACGGAGAAGGTAAGTGTGAGGACTGCTTCTCTCAGTAGCACTTTTCACAGCTCCGCTCTTTCTTAACCCTGTCCGTGCGTCGTGTTTTACTATCGTATCCATACGACATGGGGAACTGAACTCTGTGCCACCACTGTCCAAAGAGGAAATTTACTCGTTAATCCGATCCGTGCGCTTTGCATTTCTAAAATTTCTAAAATTTGAAGAATACTGCCCCGGGGGTACAAAATGACCCCAGGGCGTACGGATAGAGTTAATAATGTAGATCGTTTTCCTAGCGCCTACTCCCCTTAGAGGGTGCGGTGGCGGAGCGGTTAATGTGCTCATCTCCGAAGTGGAAAGTCCGAGTTCGATCCTCGGTTTGGACACAGATTTTTTTCACCCCCTCCCTCCCACCCAGCAGTAATGGGTACCTGACTTCGAGTTGGGGAAGTAAAGGCGCCGTGGAAAGGAACTGGCCACCCTACCACAATATGCCGAAGGCCCAGGAAGTTGTCTCACTAACAAGGCAATCCCGTATGTCCGGATCGGATGCGGGAACAACTTTACTTTTTACTGCCCTGTGCACCCAGCTCTAGATTTGTTTGAGTACAGCACTGCTGATTAGAGTTGGGTTGCGAGCGCGAGAACGGAACTGAACCGCCACTCTTCCCTATGGAACGCGATTCGCGATTCACTTCAGCAGAACGCGGAACAGTATCGCCTTCCGATTCCCGATTGACTCCCCTGTCGCTGTCACCACCTTGTGGCTTGTTTGTAACCTACTGCTGGGTCGCGAGTCGAGTCACGAGCACAGGAATGGAACGGAACACTTAGTATGGCTCCCCTTAGTTTACAAAAGATGGCATAGTCCAACCCCCCCTATTAAAACGAAATGAACGGGTTCCAACCAATAGACAGAAGGAATTTCATGGAGCCATTGTTTTAGTTTAACGAATCATGGGGGGGGGGGAATTTTATGGGGTCGCTAACTGAGGTCAGTATAGCAGCGCCACTACAGCGACTGTCTTGTGTTGTTTCCGCTGGGCTTTCTGAAGGTGTGTCCCATCCATCACCACTTTTTTTAGTCCTATTTCTATTTTAACCCTTCCTGCCCCATGCGCGTATATTTTCAGCGGAGCTTGTACCTCCCACCGTCCCTAGAGCGTATATGCTCAGTTTCGGGGGGTACCGAATTTGTGCATTTCTCGAAATTAGCTTACCTAATTAAACGTTAATTTTCATATTTGTTCTTTTACCTTTAAACATTGCTAGATGTTATTATCTAACCTTCATTACAAAGATACTCCTTGACTTTTTAGAATGCATGCCTCTTTTTCTGAAATACATTTGTATTGGCTGGGACTGGGGTTAGGGAGTGTACAAAAATAGCTGGGGCTGGAAGGGTTAAAAAATTATATGTGTCACGCACGGTGTAGTGGAATCAGGCACTCGTCAATTTTTGGGCATGTGGAGATTTTGGTATCAGTTGAAAGCTTATTCATTTGCCTTGTTTTCATAGCAAAATAGTACCCGTCTGTCTTGAACAGAAGTCGAGATATTTGCGGTTGAAGGAGGTAGGGTCGCTTGTTTTCAGTGGTAAAATTAATGAGAAAATGGCCCCCAAAGTTTGGTTCCTTCAATAGCTTCAGAGTCCTTGAAAACTGAAAAACTGCTTATTTTGTGCCTTTAATCAACATTTTTCTGTAACATTCACCTGGAAAAGTGTTTTTATATGGACATAAAAGGTGTGGAGGGAAAAATAAAAAATTCGACAAAAATTGCCAGACTGGCGGGAAAATGTCTGTTTCTTCGTTTTTATTATTTATTTTGTAATTATTTTATAATTTTTTATCCAGCTCCTGAAACATGGGTTGCTGGTGCCTCTATAAATAAAATATTGATGGTCAAGGTCAAGGCCAGCGCCTGATATCACCGCGCTGCCTCACATGTAATCTTGTACAATTTTGTCTGTGTGTACAGAGGAGGAGCACATCTACATGGACGGCGGCTCGCTGCAGGCTGAGAGGGAGGCAGGGGCAACAACAACGAGTCGAAGCCCATCGCAGCCTTTGGTGGTGGATCCTGAGGCTCCGGCAGAAAGTGCCCCGCCCCCACCACCGACACCCCCTGGGCCGGGGCCAGAGATCATAGAGGTGAACAGACCCAAGGCCAAAGTGACCACCTCCAACGCTGGGACGTACGAAAACGTCAAACTGCTCTCGGAGCCGAAAATGCGCGCGCCGGCCCCTCCCCCTCCCGGGTCGGAGGCTGAGGGCGCGGTGCAGCACAGGACGGTCATTCAGATCGGCTCTCCCAGCGGCACCCCTAAGCAGCAGGCCAGCGGCGCGGCAGGGGGTAAGAAAACGTTTGCACCCTCTCCCCCCTCTTCTTCTTCTTCTCCTCCTCCTCCTCCTTCCTCCTCTCAGAACAACGACAGGCTACAGGAGGAGGGGGTACACTCAATTGACTCCTCCTCTTCCTCACCTCCACTCAGATCTGCTCCTCCCCCTCCTCGTCCTCCTCCTCCTGTCTCTCAGTCTACCTCCTCCCACCCTCCTCCCTCCTCCTCTTCCTCCTGCGCCAGCGGCCCTGCTTCACATGCTAACCCCAGCTCACCCGCTAGATCTGCCTCTAACAACTCCACTACTACAGCTTCGACTAACTGTAGCAGTAGCGCAAAGACCACCAGTAGTAGCACTTCAACAGCGAAATCGGAAGCTTTCCGGCTTCCTCAGGGAGTTATCACCAGACTTTAATCACACACGACCGGGACATCAACATCCTGTAGCCATAGATAAGCAGAGCGTTCTGTAAAACTTTGTAAGTTATGTATAGAAATGCATGAACCTGATTGATTGATTGATTGATTGATTATCTTATTGTAGTTGGATTCAGAGCTTGAAATGATTGTTTTATGAATCATTATTATTATAGTTATTATAGGCATCTTGCTGTCTAGACCATCAGACGTTTTTTTTTTTTTACTTCTTGGATATTATTCTTCAGCAAATAATATGGTGTTTGCCTGCATGTCGTGAAATTTTTTTCTCTTGCGGAATGCGATATTCATTGTAATCCAACCTGTACACTATTCTACGGATACTGCAAATGAACTTGTTTGTTGTAGTCATTTACCCTTTGCAACTTGAAGTACGGATGCACCTGGTGTACCCTGAGATTATTTACACCTTCCCTTTTGTTTGTGGCCTCAGGGTTGTGTTATTCCTTTCACCAACTTTCTCATCAATTCCCCCCCCCCCCCCTCCCTTAATGTTGTTTTTTTTTTTTAAATGATGTCTATTTGCTTGGCTTGTTACTTATCTCTCTTTTTTAAAATTTTGCTTGCCACCGTGAGACTCTAGTCGCGCAGAATGAAGAATACCGGTTGTCGTAGAATATGTGCGGCACTTGTCCCCACAAAGTCAGCTGTTCCTTGAAGATTGAAGCCAGGACTTCTTTTTTTATCGACCCTGCTATCTATATCACGACCTCGGTGCTTTCTTGTCATATCTCCATGTTTTTAAACAGTGAAAACAGTTCATAACAAAGAGTGAGCTTAAGAAGAAGACGCACTTTCAATGTTTTAAAAAAAAATGGAGATACGACAAGAAAGCATTGAGGTCGCGATATGTGCGGACGGCTTTTATTTTTCACAAGTTTATATATATATATATATATCTATAACGTAGTGCAATTCTATTTCGGCTGTCTTCCCTGCTAGCTGTCTATATTTCTTGACCACTTTGAAACGTTGTAGGGGCTGATATTTCTATGTACACCCCGCGTGAGTCATTCCTGTTTGCCATTTGCTCACGTGAAGAAATGATTCTGTGTTTGTCTGTACGTCGTCATGTCTTCTTACTGGTTTACGTCAGAATAATTTGCATGTATGGGTACTGATACGTTGTGTTATGAATTTGGGATGTCAATGATCCTGGTTTTGGTTTTTTGTTTGTTTGTTTCGGGTTTTTTTTTACACTCTCAACACTTCATGTTTGAGCACAAGGTACCTTCACAGAAAGAAACCAGATTGGGCTGGGATGAGTTTGCACAGCTAGGCAGAAGAATAAAAGTATGTATTAAACGATCCCCGCTGTTTTATGCACACAAAAAATCTAAAATTATGCAAACTGAGCCCAAAAATGTGAAATTATGTGATTCTGTTAATTTAAACAAAGAATGATAAAGAAAAATAATCAGAAATTATGAAAAAAATGATCAAATTTTTCTAAATTATGCCGGGTGCATAAAATCCTGCAGACAGATTAAAAGGTCTGAGAATTGATAACAAAATGCATTTTTCGTAACATCCCCCCAAAAACCACCCACTAGTATTAGACAGATCAAGAAGACCCGACTTACATCTATGGGCATGAGGAAAAACTGTTCCCATCTGTAGTCCCTTGTGCTCTGATCGTGTTCTCGGTGACTAAATCCTTCTCATCATATCTGTTGATAAACCAACGCGCTGTCTCCTGTTTGCTGTGGTAGTTTATTAATAGAAATGAAGGATGGGTGGTTGATGGCTGTTTAAGTGTGATGTGCTCCATCTTCTTCTTCAGTTTTTTCTTTTATCCGAGCATATTTGGTTGCTTTTGAGGACCAGTGGGCTAACCAAGTTTAATCTCCTCGGGGCTATCCCAGATTTTGGAGGTTTCCAGAAATCATGACCTACTCCGAAAGTGGGCATTGCCCTACCTATAGGAGAAGTTTGGTTTCATTGGTGTGTATATTTGTTGTTTGGTTAGAGAGAAAACTCTCCTTGTCTTTTAAAGATACTGAACAAGGAGTCCAAAAACTTTTCCTTCGATTTTCTCAAAACTGCTTATTTCGGGATAGCCCTCTTGTGCTTAAAAGCGACCATGTATACGTAGCTAGTGCTTGGCCCTTTGTCTCTGGTGACTGGTGCTCACTTTCCACTTGATACACACCCCCATCTGTGTCACTCACTGTACTGTGTGTATACGGCTTCAGTCGTTTTGTTTTATAGCTGGGATTTTTTTTGTGTAAAATGTTTTGGGTTGTTGTTTTTTTTTCTCTTGCATGTTTAAAAATTAACTCTTTCTGAATTCAATATTCACATCATAAGGAACTTGGTTGATTTTGTATTCATGTGTGACATTGTTATAGCCCGACATATCTGCAAAGAAAACCCAGCACAAGGAAAATGTTGTATAATTTATATTTGTTGTGGACAACGAAGCAAACTTTTTGTTGCTAATTATTGTGCTTTCCTCGCTTTCAACTTTAAGTGGTTTTCGTTAATCTGATTTTTGTTTTCGAGAATGTGATTTACGCTTTCTGTTTTTTCTGTGTTATTTGTAGTACTTTGAATGAAGATTTTTGCTTAGGCGACGTGTAGTAATGGCATGAGAGGATACGATAACTCAGCTTGTGCAGTGCAGAGTAGTGCTGGGCGGTTAGGTTCCCGATTATTGAAAGCTAGGAATCGTAGGAATCGACTCCGAACCCAATTACTAACTTTATAATGATGTGATTTCTTCCAGTGATCACGTTGTTGGCTCCGAACATCTTCAGGATTTAGATAACCTTGATTTTGGAACACTATGAAGCATCAACTTTCATTTTTCAAAAATTAATTCTGAAAGCAAAAGAAGATTTTAATAATTTTAGAGTAACTGGTAAGCGTTGGTTTACGTAAAAAGGAGCCGGAACTTTACTTCCTCAGCAAAATCAGCATTAATCTTGGGAATCGGTTCCAAAATCGATTCTTCGCCCAGCTCTAGAACAGAGTGGCTCATAACATTGTGGCGATTTGTCTCGTGTGTCACTGTGCCCATGGTTGGGTCCGGTGTGCACAAGTCTCGTGGCAGATATCTTTAGTTTTAGTAGAGGTTTTACGCCACTCGCTACTGAGTAAGGTCATCTGAGCACCTGAAGATTAGAGCTGTTACAAGAGAGTAACAAACATAAAAAAAGAAGAAGGGGAGATAAGGACGATAGATGTTTGATAGGAAAGAAGAAGCAAACCACCCCAGAGCACCCGCCAACCACCCATGGGAGATATCTAAGCAGCTAATAGGTTCAACGCCACAGCTGTTACAAAGCATATTATTGTATTGTTGTGTTTGATTATGTCAATGTCTAGCTGATGTAGGTCTGATAAAATTATGGTTTTATGCTTGGTGTGGCTGGGGACATGATTTTATTTTTTTTTTAAATTTTGGTAAGTGTTTTACGGCGCTCGCAACTCTATAAGGTCATGAGCGCGTGGGACACACTGAACATTTTCAGTTCGTAGGAAATTTGGAATTTTGCGCGGGTGGCGGCGGAAGCCTACTCTTATCGATTTTGGACCACGAAGGGATCTTCAACATACGCAACTTGCACACGGGACCTTCGAGATTTTTCGCCCTTGTCCGAGAAGGCTAGGTGTAGATCTTTCCTATCAGAATATCAGGGGTGTGTGTGAAAGACAGCTGTAAGAAGGAGCCAAAGAGTAGCAGTAGAAAGACTGCAGAAAGAGTCAGGAGCCCAGAAAAGTTAAAGGTTTTATGCCTAACAACATTTTTTTCTCTCTGGATTTCAGCGTTAATTTTTAAAGGGACCCGTTGCTCCTTTTAAAAGAGATGTTTTTTAAAATAATTTTTTGAAGTTGGAACGTAATATTCCAATGTTATGAGTCACTCTGTCTGCCTGTAAAAATTGTTGAAACGTTTATGATTTCTTTGATTTGGCTCAGTGTTGCTTTTTGTGCAGATTATTTCTTGTTTGTTTGTTTGTTTGTCGTTGTTGTTTTGGGGGGGGGAAGGGGGGGGGGAGTGTAGAACAGCAATTACGTCAAAGGAAATTTACAATATTTCAACTGATTTTTCAGTTCTTGTTTTATATGAATCTGGTTTTAATTTTTGCTTAATACCGTTTGTATGCCGTATGTAAATGAGAGTGTTCGAAGAGTCATTGGAAGGAGCTACTTGTTCTTCAGTGCTTGGCTTCCTGCTCTATACTACTATTACTAATACAAGTAGGAATGTGCCGGTAAGACAAATCAGTAGGTGAAAGAAAGCAAAGACAAAAAAATCATTTTTTTGAAAATCTTTATTTATTTTTTTGTGTAGGCTACCCGCTCAGGGCAGTTGATTCTAAGAAGCTTCTAAAGAAGTGAGTGCTTGACTAGGCTTGTGCTTGTTTTTTTTAAAATCATATTTATTTTGCTGTGTCTGTTGTGGGGATGTTTTACCTGCTATGGCAGATACTGTGTTTTATCAAAGATCGTGTATAACAAGATAGTTCACTCCTGTCTTTGAACTTTGAGTTGAGCCAATTAAAAAGATGTCCTCAAAATTAGGTGAAGCCCTCTTCGAAAAAGTGCGGACTTTGCGATCAGTGTGAAA